TCCAACTCCTCACACCCTATTGGCATATTCATCGCCCTGATGACGGAGGCAGTATGACCTCTGAAACGTTGGTTAACATCGACCAGACTACACAGCGCAATAACCCAGAAGACAGAAATCTTCATATTCACCGCTGTGAGAACCTCAAGTCTTACAATTATTTTTTTTGTAATTCTGAAATGGCTTCAAGAAAACTGAAAGCCTGTTTAATATCAATCCAGTTGAGAAACATTTCTTGATTCTGAATTCAGTGAAGAAATTGAAGTACCAAATTGCATTCCAAGAAGCATGGGAGATTTTATTAACACAACAGGCTAAACTGAATTTTTATCTTTATAACAGAGAGATAAATCATTGATGACATTGCTTAAATACACAAGATGTTTCACTGATATCAAGAAAATGATTCAAAATAATATAAATATAATTGTTTGTTTTATATTATATAGTAAGTAGGTAGGCTCCTACATCTTAATCTATCTCTTTACATATCTTAATCCAGCTTTCAGCTCAAAGGAATGAAAGCTGATAATATCAACAAAGTAATAAAATTAAAGATTAAATTGACAACCTTCAAGACATAACGCTATTTTCTTCTGTCTTAATCATGTCATGACTTGGCATAGTCAAAAGATAAGTACCTGATACAATTTATTAGAAATTATGAAATTTGAGTAATTTGGTACTGTCACTTTTACAGCATTAAACTAATTGAAGCCAGATATAATAAGACCTTCAGAGGGAATGTTTGCTAATCATGATTATAAGTTATGACAACAAAACAAAAGAAGAATTTGATTGGGGATTTTGAATTGGAACGTAAGATAGAATAAGTTTATCATGGTATTTACCAAAGTGATGACGAGAGGGAGATATTCCTCGACAATTATTAAAGTCAGTCTCACCGCCCTTCTTATGAATTGGTACAATAATAGATTTGTTCCATTGTTAAGCCATTTTCTCCTTATTCCACACAGAGCAAATAAGTTTGTGTTCATTGGAACGCAATGTTTCACCTCCTGCTTCGATCAATTCAGCTAGAATCTGATCAGTATCCTGGGATTTATACTTTTTCAACTTCTCGATAGCAGTCTCCACTTCGATAAGGCTAGGTTCTGGCACTAATGGCTCAGACGTATGTATATTTATCTGCGTAATATCATAAATCCCGTGAACATTTAACACCTGGTTAAATACATTTTACCACCTTTTCAAAACCCTGTGGAGATATGCGAGCAGATAACAACTCTCATCTTTGATAATATTAACTCTAGGTTGGTAACCTTTCTTAAATTTATTTTGCTTCTGTATAAATCTCTACTATTTTGATTTCTATAATTAGTTTCGAGTTAATTAATTTTGCTTCTCAGGTATTCCCTTTCTTCACACCTTAAATTCCGCAAATTATCTCCTGGGCTGAGATTTTGATATTGTCCCTAATACTTTCCGAAGCACTATTAATGTTCAAACTGTCATCCAAGTTCTCTAAAGCCAGAAATCTATTGGGGATTTCTAACTAGTACATACCCTTAACTTCTACATCATTGAATTTCTTCTAATCAAATCTTTCTAAACCAAACTTTTTCCAAGATTGTTTACTTACTCAAAGTCTCTCCCTTAATTCTGCCACTATCAGGTAAATGGTCGGAATCACAGTCCGCCCTTCTGAAAGATCTGACATCTAATATAATGGAGTGTCATCTTTTGCCCACTAAAAGATGATCTATCTGATTATGTGTGACTCCATCAGCAGATGATTATGAATGTCATGGTGAGAGAATGTTGTGCTTCTGAATGTTAGATTTTTTGAATTTGTAAAATTTACTACTATGATCCTATTATCGTCACTAACTTCATGTAGACTTTCCTTACCAATTATCAGTTCAAAAATGTCCTCCCTCTCTACCTTCACAGTGAAATCTCCTAGCAAAATTTTTGTATGGTACCTACGTAACTGGTCAAATACTTGTTCTAATTCTTCGTACATTTGTCCTTTGTGTCATCATCCTATCCTCAGTTGGGGCATGCACATTCAGAAAAAGAAGGCCACACACAAAAAATGTTCCTCTTGAAGAGACAGAATAGGAAAAATTATAGACTTCTTCCCGTTTTGAGAAATTGGCGCAGTCATATCCAATGCAGCTTGTCTCTCAAATAAGAAGTTATAAAAGTACAAGAAATATTCCTGGGAATAAGATTGATTTTTACTATTTAGATAATTTGGAACAGGGATATTGAAAATATTTTTAAAATACTGCATTACAGAAGAAATGGTAAACATAAAAAATGTTCCTCTTCAAGAGATAAACACAGAACAAATTCTTATATTCTGTTTGTAAATTAGGCACAAGGGTGCCCAAATATTTGATACATTGAGACTGTCAAATAAAATTTCTTTCCTTATGAAATTTTAATTTCAAGCATGTGAAGATTATTTACAGTGCATCTTATAAAACAATATTTTAGATTTCCAATTCAATTTTAACTGACATCACTAGGTAATAATGCTGTAAGAGACTATTATTAACTGCACAGTCATAACACTGTCTTGTGTTTGGATTCCACAGGAAGAAAAATAACTTGATATGTTAAGCAATATAAACAATGATAAGACTGGGTTAGGTAAATACTTCTCAGATCAATAGTTCAAGTGTGGGATTTGAGGTTTTCATGGTGGTAAGTCTTCTGGGTTGTTGCGCCATGTAGTCTGGTAGAAGTTTACCAGCGTTTCAGAGGTTGCCCTGATGATGGAGGCACCAAGGATGTCTGAAACGTCGGTAAACTTCTACCAGACTACACGGTGCAATAAACCAGAAGACGGCAATCTACAAAGTTCTCAAGTTTCACTTCTTTATCACTTACCCATGGGAAGACATTTATTAAATGTCCACAAAGTACATTTTGATACTGCCAGCCTTACATCAAGTTGTGTGACTTTGAATATTTGTGTACAATAATACTATGAAACTGATTATTCGACATTCTTCTACAAAATGTTATGAAAAATAACTTTTTAAAACTTGTATTACCATATTTCAAGTTTGTAACTTAAAATCATCAAGGGTAACAATATCCTGCATATTGATATTTGTTGAAAATGTATCACATGTATGAGAACAAACCACAAAATGTTGGTAAAGAAACTTCATAATGCAAGGCAACTTGGACCGAGATTTAAATGGAAGAAAATATCAAAATATACTTCAGGGAACTGATTTTGATTATATAAACTGGCTCATACTAATGCAACTTATTTTCCAGTATTGGATTTTGCAAAATTCAGCTCACTAAACGACGCTACATTATGTTTTTACAACATTAGACCTTTGTACTTTTCAGTATTATGCCTCAAGATTTAATATTTCCAAAATTATCTTATTTAGTTCCAACAAAAACCTCAAGGCTTATAAAAAGAGACTTCATTTTGTAAAATATGGCTTGGAATGACTCATATAAAACTAGTGGTTTGTGAAGAAGTTAAAAAACTTTTGTTTTCTCAATAAAATATATCTCAAAACACATCTCTCGTGGTCCAATTTACCCCTATTTTATTTTATGAGTAATACTAAGATTAAAGGGTAAATTTTTCATACCTGTTAATTAGTGCTGAAGTGTTCAAATCTGGAAATCCATTGAACTTAACAATGGGCAGCACTGGAATACACAGAGTTCTATCAACATACAGTCTTTTCTTCATATATTTTATCTCTTTCACATCCCTTTAATCCTATTCAAGGACTAGATAACATGTAGCCCAATAAATTATATAAGACACTTGGGAGCAGTGGAATTACAGCATTTAAGAGATAATTCCTGTGAGGTTACAAGATCCATATCAAGAAAGATGAAAAAAAACCACTGCATATTAATCATCATGACTTGAATAATCCAAGAATAAAACTACATTACCTGCTTCAGAAGCACAGAGGCTCATCTTTCTACAAACAGATTTTATTAACGACTGCCAGTTACACATTTCAGCCATATCGGGCCATCGTCAGCGACTCGTTGGGACTGTAACTATCCCACTTTGCTACCAACTCTTTGTTGTCACAATTTTTACTTCATTTATCAACACACATCAATTTTGTAATATTGTCAAAATCACTATTTTTAAGAATTCAACACTTTACATTGATTTGATATACAAGGTGTCCCATTCAAACCTCCAACATTTTATCAGATCGCAGAGCAGATAGTATGAATGGTAGGAAAATGAAACCACAGAAAATGCAAGAACAACTCAAAAATTTTATTTGGCACACATTAATAAACCTCTACATGTGCACCATCGGTAGCACAAACAATATCTGTTCGGTATTCAATTTCTTGCCACGTTCTCTGCGACATTCCCATTGTTACAGTAGCAATCGTACCACAGATGCGGGCTCGTAAATCTGGCAGGTCATTCACTGGAGTAACGAACACGCGATCCTTCACATAACCCCAGAGGAAGAATTCCAGCGTACACTCGTAGGTAATTTCTTTGCACTGAAATTATTGATTTTGTTTGTGCACGCTGCTGTGGAGTCACCATTTTGCTTATTAATCAGAGAAAAAATTACAATACATTATGTAGTTGCAAATAAAATTCTTGGTGTTTTTCTTCCTTCTAGTGCTAATTACAATCCTTAATTTATCATAATTTGTTCGTAATGATTGATTAAAATGTGGGAGGTTTGAATGGGACATCTTGTATATTGTTCAAATCACAATATTTTACAGGTTCAGGAATGTTAAAAAATATAATATGTTTTAAGTAACCTCACCATATACTTTCTGCAGAGTCACTGTGTCCTTGTCATTATATTTTCTCTTCCAATAGCTTGTTACATCGCTGTACAACCACAGTCCAGCTACCTTCTTCGATGTTCATTTATCAATATTGCTGCATATTGTACTACATTCTTTGTGCATAATGTTTCGTAGCAACCATCATTCTGTAAATGGACATCAAACTAGGTTATTATAGGGTGCTATTCTAATACCAAAATTACAAACATGTTTTTAATCTCCACACCAAAATACAAACTATGTACCTATGAAACTTGCCCGCGGTGGACTAGTGGTTAGCGTGCTTGCCAATGGACCCAAGGTTCACGGGTTCAAATCCAGCCTAGGTCGATGGATTTTTAAGGGTGATAAAAATCCGTAGCACAACTTCCTTCGGAAGGGAAGCAAAGCCGGTGGTCCCATGTTGTAGATTTACGGTGTGTAAAAGAACCTTACGAGCATGAACGAGATGTTTCGTAAGCAAAATTCAGCGGCCATGTCTCACCCATGTATCTACTGATTCTCTACTAGATGGCTCTAGCAGACAAAATCATGATTGAGTAGAAATTGTGCAGAGACCGTGGGCCGGTCACTCACTACTCAAAAATGCACACTTCAAAGACAAAGAAACCTCCCACATGGGAGGAGGCCAAGGCTCTGCTTCGGGCTGTTGCGCCATAGTCAGTCAATCAGTACCTGTGAAATGTAACATACATGTTTTACTACTGAGCTGTTTTATGAATTTGTGCTTATGATTAACGATGTCACCACACACAAGAAAACACTAATGCTAGAACAATTTAATTTGCTATTGTGTTCTGGTCTTCTGTGATGACTAAAACATCTTCTGAAAACCTGTTGCATATAAGAAGGAAAGCAAAGTTACCTGATGGATACCTTAGAGTCTTGATTTTTCCTTTTGTTTTTAAATATAAGAGTGCTGCTAAATATTTTAAAAAACAACCAAATTGAGATGTCAATATATCTACACAATTATAATTTCTGGCATTAACATCAATGTAAAATAAGAAAATTATCAAAATTACACAAAAACCGGACTTCAGAGACACTACCGCCTGTAACAAACCTAGGGACACAACACAAATAAAGTTATCAAAGTAAAGATAATATACTTTAAATCAGTGGTTTCCAAACTTTTTCTGGTACATCAATAAAATAAAAACAATATGTTTCACATCATATACTGTTTTACAATAATCATCAATAGGCTGAGATACAGGAGGCATTTTTTTGCTACTGTTATAAGTGAAAATGTACACACAAAATATTTATTTCTCATTCAATTTCATCCTCAATTGTTCCCATCGCCTCTAAAGGATATTATACTGTCACCATCTACACTAACCATAGAGAGTGACAGAGTATAAAACTGACGAAGTCACTTACTCAGTGGGAACGATGGGCCTACATGTTTTAAACTAGGTGATTCATGAAGATATCCGTCTTCTGGGTTATTGCGCTGTGTAGTCTGGTCGATGTTAACCAACGTTTCAGAGGTCATACTGCCTCCGTCATCAGGGCGATGAATATAACAATAGGGTGTGAGGAGCTGGATTTATAGGCCGGGAAGTGAAAGG